GAAGAGGTTGCAAGAAGACAAGCTAATGAGTGGATCGATACGTTCCTTAAAGGAGCCAAACTCGTGGATCCAAGGTGGTACCCCATAAAGATCGACTTTGTCCCAGTGTTCGCAGCAGACGAGCGCGACAGAAGAAGGATAAGCAAACACGCCATAGAATCATTTGCAAGAGAAAACGACGTCGAAGTCAAGAGGATGAACTGGCTAGGCGAACCAAAGCCATGGGCAAGCCATGCCTCTGCAGTAGCCAAACTAGCTACAAAGGAGCAAGTTGAGAGGCTGCTAGCGCTCCAGCGAGATGGAACAGAGATAAGCATGTTTGAGTGCATGGTCGAGGTATCAGTCTTCTTCGAAAAGAATGGGCCTAGGGCATGCTACCAGTGCCAGCAATTCGGCCACATTAAGAGAGACTGCAAGAACCCCCCTACATGTGCAAGGTGCGCACAAACAGGCCATGAGCGCTGCGAAACGGGAGCGATAAAGTGTGCCAACTGTCAAGGAGATCACATGGCGACCGACAAGTCATGCCCAGAGTACAGGAAACAGCAAGAACGATCCATTAGCATGCGTTTCCATGAATAGTACACTTAATATCCTCCAAGCAAATGTGAGAAAGATGTCAGGAGTTCAGGACGCGTTATACAATGACGAGGAGTTATGGAGTTTTGATCTTATACTAATGCAGGAACCACACTACCTAGACTTTGGCAACAACATACATATCACAGGAACCGGACCAAACTTCGAAGCAATAAAACCAAAAATCACACAACAAGATAACCAGGATATGAGGATCCGGTCATGCATCTGGGCAAGTAGAACTACGGAATACATGCAACACACGACAACTAGTAGCGACGTCACAGCTATCACAGTGCAGAGAGCAGGCCGGTGCATCCTAGTTGCATCAGTCTACATTCCCACATCATCTCGAATAGGGAAGAAAACGAACAGCAACTCGCAGACCGCATGCAGGACGTTCAGAGAATAATCGATAAGGAGAAGACTACACATCCAGACCTAGAAATCATAGTTGCAGGAGATGTCAATCGACACGACAGCCTATGGGGAGGATCTCATGTAGCGTTAGAGCGAAGGCAAGGAGAAGGAGCTCAAATCCTCGACTTCCTAGAGTGCAACAACCTGCAAGTGCTCACACCGAGGGGAATGGTCACATGGGAAAGGAATGAGCAGAGGTCTACCATCGATCTAATAATGGCAAGTGAACGACTATACGAAGACAGGATTACCTGCAAAACATGGGACAACGAGTATGGATCAGATCATAGAGCAGTGCACACAGCATTTTCAATGGATCAGGATCAGGAACAACAGCAAGCCGAGAGATACCTGCTTCAGAAAGCAGACTGGAATGCCGTCCGCAAGACAATCACCCAGACACTTGCAAGCTCACCATTTCCAACTATGGACATAGAGCAAATGCAACAGTACATTCAGAATGCAACCGAGGACGCAATCAAGCAACACTGTCCCAAAGCAAAGCCGTCAGCATATGCGAAGAGATGGTGGACACCAGATCTGACAGCTCTACGTCAGAACTACACATGGACGCGGAACCGTGCAAGAGCAAGGCGTAGGCAAGGAAACCGGAACATGGACCTTGAAGTTGCAACAAAGATAGCTAGACATGACTTCCATCACGCAATTAAGAGAGTCAAGAAACGGCACTGGACCGAGTTTCTGGACGATACTAAGAACATCTGGAAAGCAACAAGATACCTAGACCCAGGCACAGGATCAAGCTTTGGCAGGATCACGTCAATCAAGGGCCAAAGTGGGGAACTGACACAAGATAAACCAAGCATAGCAAAGAACTCCTAGCTAGCTTCTTCCCACCACCGCCAGAACCTCAGCAACCAGACGAGACTAGGGACGACAATGCGGAACAGTTCATGCTAAGAGGATTGACGATCGATGAGATAGAAAGAGCACTATCTGCAACAAGTCCTGATCGTGCAGCAGGAAGGGATGGTCTAACAACTAGAGTATGGAGGGAGGTGTGGCCAGTTCTGCAACAACAGATCTGTCAGCTCTTCTCGACATCTTTAAGGCAAGGCAAACTACCAGAGCAATGGAAGGTTGCGAAGATCATTCCTCTAAAGAAGGGAGGCAAGGACGACTACACGCTGCCTAAGAATTATCGTCTAATCTCCCTTCTTGCAACCCTTGGAAAGATTATGGAAGCGGTAATAGCAACTAGGATTTCTTATCTTACTGAGGTCCACAAGCTGTTGCCAAACAACCACTTTGGAGCCCGGAAACAGAAGTCGACAATACATGCCATATCATACCTACAAGAGTCCATCTTCAACGCATGGAGGGGGAAGGAAGACTCTCTCGTTAGTCTCCTTTGATGTCAAAGGAGCCTACAATAATGTTGCAACTGAACCGCTATTGCAACGACTTAGACAGAGAAGGATTCCAGAACCTATAGTCAGATGGGTACAGGATTTCTGCACCAATAGAAAAGCATGTGTCATGGTCAACGGGTTCACATCCGAAGTGGAGGACCTGCCACAAGCAGGATTGCCGCAAGGGTCACCCCTAGCGCCGATCCTGTTCCTCTTCTTTAACGCTAACCTTGTACAACATAAGATTAAGGAGGGCGGTACCATGGCCTTTGTGGACGACTACACGGCGTGGGTGGTAGGAGACTCAGCTGAGCGCAACACAAGAAGAATCCAGAGGGAAATCTTGCCACAACTGGAGAAATGGGAAGGGAAAGTGGTGCTGTTTTTGAATCGTCAAAACAGCATTTATCCATTTTACCAGGACCTCGTCATCGCAACGGGACAGCGACATGCCGCTACGATTCAAGCAAGACATAATAGACCCTAGCCAATCAGTCAAAATCTTAGGAGTCATTATGGACCAAGGATTGAGGTACAAGGAGCATGTTGCAGGCAAAGCGGACAAAGCCTACAAGGCAGCACTAGCCCTAAAAAGACTGCAAGGACTTAGACCATTAAGCATGCGCCAATTATTCTCGGCAACGGTGGCACCAGTCATGGACTATGCATCATCGATATGGTATCTGGCAGTGTCGGACAAAACCCTAGCAACACTAGAGAGAGCTCAAAGAGTTGCAGCACAGGCCATCATAGGAGGATTCAGAACCATGGGTCTAAACGCAGCAGTCATGGAGGCAGGCATGGCAACAACACGACAGAGACTGCACGAGCAAACTCTTAGATTCTAGATTGGCATCCATAAGCTAGATGAATCTCACATCCACCACAAGCTAGCTAAGTACAAGGGCAAGAAGCGTTTCATATCTCCACTGCGGAAAGCAGCTATCCTATTCAAAAGCATCAAGGCTCGGCAAGCAGACAAGATCCCTACTGTTAGATGTGAACCGTGGGTGCCAAAACCCCGCGTGTATATACTAGACAAGGAAAAAGCCAAACAAGCCGCAGTTGCAGAGTATGCAACAGTCGATTTCTACACTGACGGGTCAGTAAGGAAAGGTAGAGCAGGCATTGGCATATGGACATCGACATGGGAAGTGTCAAAGTTAGTAGGAAGAGAAGAAGACACCAATGTTCACCACACGGAACTGCTAGCAATATGGATGGCAATCAAAGGCATCCCAGACGACATGAATAGCCAAGTACGGATACGGGTGTTCTTAGACAGCCAAGGAGCGTTGCAAAGCATCTAGAGTCCAAAGATCAACGATAGTATTAACCTGGTCATGAAAATCAGAGAGAAGATCAGGAAAGGAACGTTCTCTCTCCACTAGGTCCCTAGACACGAAGGAATTGCAGGCAACGAGAGAGCCAACGAGTTGGCTCAAATGGCAACAGAAGAATCACAACCAATGCCAGCACCCGCTGCAACAGTACCCATATCAGTGATTCATAACAGAGGGAAAGCAGCAGGTTTCAAGCCTAAGCAAGAAAAGTTCTATAGAGCCAAAACCGGAAAATACTTACAGAGAATCGACAAAGCACTGCCAGGAAAGCATACAAGGAAGCTGTACGACGCACTCAACAGGACAGATGCTTCTATACTAGCACAGCTTAGAACGAACATATCCAGGCTGAATACTTATCTGCACAAGATCAAAGTGGCAGAAACGGACAAGTGCGAATGCGGAGTGTTGGAAACAGTCCAACACTTCCTATTCTTCTGCCCACGATGGAGACAGCAAAGACAAGACATGAAATCAGCACACGGCAGGAGATTCTGCAACATATCATATGCCCTAGGAGGATACTCAGACCACAAAGAGAATAGTAAGATTGTGGATGGCGAGAAAGATAAGTGGCGACCAGACTAGCAGGCAGTGAAGTCCACTATTAAGTTTGCAAAGGCAACAGGAAGACTACAATATCAGAGGTAAGAAAGACAAATTGACAGGAAGTGCCTAGGGACCAACTATTACATGATCACCACCTTAGCAATACAACTGCCTCTAAGCAGCGTCTTGCCGATAAGGATGTACGCGACATAGGGAAGAGCCCTTATGGAGGAGGCTACCGGCCCCCCAATACTGAGAGAAGGACATGTACAACACTCATTACAGAGGCACTTAGGAGTTATCGGCGTTAATGTTTTGCACGGTCTGCTGCGACCATTACCCTCCTTTCTACTGAATCTGACGACTGCTATTAGTCAGAATATGGTGTAATTAGCGACAGCTCATACCCCTGCGGGGTAAATAGCTTGAGAAAATCAAATCAAATCAAATCAAATCAAATCAAACAATACTGTTGCTTCCTCCTCCCGATTCTCACCAAGACTCCACAATACCATGGACAACGAAACAGCAACGGCACAAGGAAGACAGATAAAGAGCGCACTGCAGACTGGTCATTGAAGCTATTGTCTTCAACCAAAGCGAGGAACAACAGACCCAAACAATCCAATCGATGGAGAGGTAGAACGAAACACAAGAAGCCACTATCGAACAAAACGTCAAGACGATTAATGAACAACACACACAGATCAAGAAGCTGGAAAAGAGGATCGCACAGATGACGGACGCTAACAAAATCCAAGAGGAGGTCCTTGTCCTCAAGGCCAAGCGTGCCAACGCCGAGAAAAAGAACGAAGAAGTGGTTGTTGCCCTCGAAGCCAAACACGCAGTGGCTAACGTAGAGGCCGACAAGTCAGAGAAGGAAAAAACCAAAACGCCAAAGCTCCGCGGGAATCCCAAACTGAAGAGCTCCTTGCCTCTATCGTACAGGCGCTGAGTCTTGCCCTTTGCAGAGTTGAAGCTACCGTGCCATGAGGGCTTCCTGCGGTGAGTCTCGGAGGTGGCTCTGATATCAGCATCACCTCGGCGCTTGCGAAGCTTTCGAGGACCATTTGGAAGCGTCAAGGATGACGGGGATGCGTTTCTGTTCGTGTGTGCCTCGAGAATGATGTCGCGAGACTCTTTTATACTCTTGGTGATGTTGTCACGGGACTCTCTGATGTCCTTGTTGGACTCGGTGCGATTCTCGGCCAACCTCTCCGCAGTGGCCAGGTTCAGATCCTGGCTTACGACCTCCATGTCGTTGAGCTTCTGGAAGATCGCGGTTTGCTGGGCTTCCGATCGGTTCAGGCGAAGCTGCACCTGGTGGAGGTGCTGAGCGATAAGGGCGAGGTAGGCGGGCATGTCAGCTGGATCGATGACTGAGGGGACCTGACCCTGAGGCTGTCAGCGAGAGACCAGGACATGAGTATGCAAGGCTAGCAGTGACGTACAAGAGGATTTGCGGCTGCTTGTCTCTGACGCTCTTGTTCTTCCACGAGTTGGACACTGAACAAGAGTGAACAAGACATCTGGTGCTGCCGTTTCGCTGGCGGGCGTGTTGGGTTTGTGTCTCGTTTGCCCATGGCGTGTTGTCGCAGGCCTCGCCGTCAGTCTTGGATTCACTGGATTCCGACATGAGAAACGAGCACACAAACCTGTCAGAAGATAGGACAATGTCTACTGAGAAGCAATCTCTCATTAGCTCTCTTTGGCCATATCCTTATTTCGAGATAGAATTGTGCATTTTTATAGCCTGTACGCGTTGAAAACTTCGCACATGGGGAGACAGCAAATATCTAGTGTGGGGCTGGCTGGCTCATGTTTGCTTAGAGCCACTTGTTGGTCAAGCTGTAGAAACCACTAGTCTTGAAGCTCAGCGGAAGCATCATGGTATCAGTCTCTTGGAAACAATCAATGTCAAATCACATGTATCTGCCTGTATGATGTCGTTGGGATCCTGCAAGATTTGAATGACACTGCTCCGAGTCAAGCTGCTATGTGCGTCGAAGGAAAAAAGGCAATTCAAGTCATTCTTGGCGCAGGGCACCAACTTCGCATATCGCACTACTGTAGCATTCTGACCAGAACTTATCAAAGCATACAATGAATAGCTGCGACCAAACTCTATCGGTCCTTGTGAAGCAGCGACGGCTTTTTGTGCGGTGGGGTGGCACGGGACCTCCGCCCTCCGCTCCGCACAATTGAGAATGTCGCTGTCCACCTCGAATTTGCAAAGTGCGTGACTGTAAGATATCTCAAGAAGACACATAGTGAGCATGAAGTAATGATGCAAAGTGATGTACAATGCTATCTCTGATGCTGTAGGCTATTGATGCTATCAGAGTATGTGACCACCCACGGCAAGTCTTCTCCATTTCTTTCATTCCTCGTGTTCAACCAGTCCTTCCCCACCACAACTTCTTGTCTCCATGTCTCATCAAGAAAGTGGAAAAATAAGCTCCAGAGTAAAGCTGCCATGATCGTCTCAGTTTTTCACTGGCCCTTCTGACCACGACAAGATGGCAGAGAAACCGAAGAGTTCTGTTGCCCCAAACGATCTTTGTCTTGTGACCACTGTGGTTTCAGTACTTATAGGTGACATGATCAGAGGACTCGGGCTCAACATGCTCGCTTGCGGGCTGAGTATGAGAAGTTGGTTGACTCTGGTCACGCGGAGGCTGGGAGCCAGTGGCACCATCCTGTTGAACCTGGTCACGTCGACCTTGAGATGTATCGTACTCGTGGCCGCTGCTCCATCGCTGGCGTGCGTCAGCCCGGTGAGGGTATTCACGGTGCTCGGTGAGGGGCCTTGTAATTTGAGGCTCAACCTCATCCATCCAAGTGTCAATGTTACCCTCCTCAGTGACTTGAGGGAGAATAGGGATTGCGGTGGTAGCTGTACCACTTCTCGAATGGGCGAAAGATTGTTCAGAACGAGGAGGGTTGCTGACGTTGGTGTACGGTGGTGGTGGCATGTGTTGTCCAGCAAGGGGGTTGTATACCTCCCAGAATGCACTTCGCGACGTATGTGATGGTGCGCGTTGGCGTTGAGAAGCACTGCTTGAGCTGATGTGCGAAGGTCGAGGGGGAGATCTGCCATCGCGCCAACCTCGGTATGGACGAACGCCAGTCGAACCTTGGATCGACGACGACCTTGCACTTCCAGAATTTGATACTCCGTGGCTGGTGGAAGCTGAAGCTGAAGGTAACGATACAGGTACAGAATGTCTGATCACTGGCTGTACAGTAGTGGCTGAGTCTCGATTACCCAAACTCATGTTGGAGAAAGACCTGGCAAGAGTCGCGCCGTGGTGCACGACACTGCTCATAGTGGATCTAAGGCTGATATGACTGCCAGTGCGGACGAGCGCGCTCCTGAACCTGCTTCTCCTGGATGGTGTGGGTGGTGGGTCATTCCAGCCTTGCTCTTGACTCTGAACAGGCGACGATCCCGGGTCAGGTTGATGCTGGATAGTGTCGAAGGCAGCATCGCTACCAAAGGGGTTTGCTGAGGCACTTATTGACTGCTTAGTCTCAGCAGCATGATTCTCCTTGTCGTATCTCTCTTGCTTCTCCCAGTCACCTTGCCTGGGGTTAAGCAACCAGAGCGTTGTCTCATCGACTCCCTTCAAGCATTGATGTTCCTCAAAGATCTTGTTAGGGCACGATTGGTTGTTGTCGTGATCAGACCAAGCCCATTTGAGTTTTTCTCCCTCCGCCCGTGTAGCCTTTTCGGGTCCAGGTTTGCGGATCATCTCCTGCATAAAACATCTCTGAGCCGTGTCACGTTTGGTCAGACGAGCTGTGCAGGCCCTCATCTTGGACTTGAAGGACGTGGGGGCTGAGTCTTCGCTGTACTTTGGCTCCTGACTGTATTTGTCCCTGATAGACTGGTCCAGAATCGAATTCTTGATACGTTCCATGCTCTTGACATTGATGATGACATAAGGTTTGCGGACAGTCGAGTTGTTGGGCGAGGTGTAGTTGTCATCTGTGGCTGTGCCCGGGCCAGTCAGAGACGCAGCGGCGGTGGTGGCTGTCGTGACAGGTGCAGCTGTCGATGGAGAGGCGGCTGTCAATGAAGCGGCAGGAGCGTGAGTCGTAGGAGCAGCAGGAGATCGAGTGGGCGGCTGTGGACGCGGCCTGACTGCAACGCCAGACTCGAGTCGAAGGCGTGACTGATCGCCCTCAGGGGACGCGGGTGGCGAGCCACGACTTGACCAAGTGCGAGTTCTCTGGAGTGAAGTACGGCTGCGAGGAGGTGTGGTACCGTAGAATTCTTCATCATTGCCCGCCATGTTGACGTCTTGTGGTCTTGTCTGTTGTGCATTTGCTTCTTGCGGGGGCGTGGCTTGTGCCTCTGAAGCAGGAGCGTTGGATGTAGTCGTCTGCTGTTCAATTGCTTCTAGTCCTTGAGCTGCGGAAGCAGGAGCGTTGGAAGGTAGACCACCGCTTGCAAGAATGCTCTGCAACATCATCTTCAGCTCGGTAATCTCACCAAGCTTCTCGTTGACGGTGTTGAACTTCTTGTCGAAGCTCTCATTGACGGTGTCGAGCTTCTTGTCGAGGTTCTCATTCATAGTTCTCAGCTTCTCGTTAAGATTCTCATTGAGGTTCTCGTTGACGGTGTCGGGCTTCTTGTCGAGGTTCTCGTTGACGGTGTCAAGCTTCTTGTCGATGCCATCAACCCTCTCGTTTGCAGAGTTGATTATCTTCTCAATGCCATCAATTCGCTCATTGATAGTGGCGAGCTGCTTGTCGTACTCGTCAAAACGTGATGCAAGCTGTCCACATTGTTAGTCGATCGTATGTTTCGATACTACAACGGACAAGTTGGTGACATACCTTCAAATCCTTGATGAGAGCCTTCAGCTCATCAAACTTGTTGGTGTAATCTTGAGTGCTGTCTGCAAAGTTCTCGACATGATCGACAAGATATCGAATGACTGTGTCGAGCAGGTCGTTCGCCTCATTGGTGTCCACGGGGTCATCGCGAGTCGACAATTCCTTGATACGCTCTTGAAAGGATCCGACTAGCCCGCGTAGTACTGTCAGCGCTTCTTGGATGGTCTTTATGTTTTCGGTCATGCTGGGCATGAGACTGCCTGGGCGGTTGACGTCTAAGTTGTTGTGAAGATAATGAGCGATGCGAATAAAACAGAAGGTCTCGCTGTGTCGACTTTTTGTTTGTGTGCGACCCGCGACATGCCAGTACCCATCTCGGACGCAAATTTCGTTGACGCGATCGCAAAAGTTTTGAGACGCGACAAAGACGCAGTTTCGCGTATTCAATCCATTGTTTACTGTGGCCAACTCTTGCTTGCTTGCTTGTGTGATGTTCTTTGTGATCGTTTGCTGCCTTCGATTTCGTTCGAGCGCATTCTTGCTTCCAAGCCATCTTCCTGATTCTTATTGCTCCTTCAAACCATTTCTCCTTTGCTTATCACATTGCAATCCTCAAGAATGTCTGCAGCTGGTGGAAGACCCGCTCCCTCTGTGGGAGGTGCAGCTCTTCGAGGAAACCTTCTTCTGAATGTCAATCTTGGAGTGGCTCTCGATCAGTGGCAGGAGTGCACGGGAGTCAGCCAGCAGCGTGTGTGAGTGACGATGTCTTGTATTCGTGACTGTATGGGGCTGATAGGGGGATGACTATAGGGACGTCCGGTCAGAGTTGCAAAATCTTGACCAAGACGCACAGATTGCATACTTGTCGGAATCGGGAAATGTTGCTCCTGTGGTTGATGCTCTACGAAGAGAGCTAGATGAGAATAACAGCGAGATCCAACGATTGACTGATGAGATCGCAAATGTCTTCGACATGATCAAAGCTGTAGATCAACGAACCAGTGCTCATAGTCAATTCGATGAGGCATTCGAAGATCGTGAGCAGCGTATGGAAAAACAACAGATGTAAGCGAGTTTCCTCTATAACAATCTTTGTTTCTTCTACTTGCTTTTTTCTTTTGCTCGTTCCTTGTCTCTGAGCAACAAGAATACGCCACTAGAACAACCTCATCTTCTCGCAGAGTTGTACCACACGATGGATAGTCAGATGTCGACTGTGGCTCTCTGATGTGTGCACCAAGCTAACAAAAGTTCAATTCAGATGTCGAGCCGCTGTGGAGCGCGTTCGTACTCGTTGTTTCAGTGCTGAAAATGCGACTCCAAGTCAGCCAGCACCTGCATCAAAGTTTCAACCGACCCCTCATACCAACGTCGCTATGATCTTCCGACAGCTATTGGTTGACAGAACGACCAAAAGTAACGAATACACATCGGAGGAGATTGAAAAGGTCATCACTAGTCTTGTTGACTCTTCCGACACGGCTCGAGACGGTCAACTACGCAATGACAATATCATTGACGAGTTACGCCAAGAAGTCAGCAAGCTCAAAATCGCAGCGGAAAGTGACAAAGCAATTATTGAGTCCCTTACCAGAGCCCGAGATGAGTTCAAGCACAGCGCCGAAACCGACTCGTCGGCACTTCGAGAACTTCGCCAGAAATTCGATGATCTTCGGATCAAGAATGCAGAGTTCGTAGATGTGTATGCCAAGAACCAAAATCTCCAGGCTCGGTTGCAGACCGCAGAACAAGACGCAGAGAAAGCCGCAACCAGATATAAGGACCTCGAGTCAGCATCAGGAGCAGATGAGGTGGCTTTGACAGATCTCCAAGATAGGGCTCGACGGGATGCTCAGAAGGTCATCGATCTGGACAACGAAAAGGCAAAGATAGAGAAGCAATGCGCAGACCTGGAAATGGAGCTAGATGAACTGCGTGATGAGCATACCAGCCTCGAAGAGAGATGGGACGAGTCTCTTGCATCTGAGTCGAGTGATCTTCGCCAAAAGTATGATGATCTCGAGCAAAAGGCTCAGAACTGTGAAAACAGGCTACAGGAATCAAACTCCAATTGGCTCAGGGCTCTGACTTCTGTACTGACCAGTAAGATCACTGGTGAAGACATACCCTCAGTCCTTTTGCAGCCGATTTTGCACAACGAGTTCTCCAGCATGGACAGATTTTCGACAAAAGCATTGGCGGCGCATAAGTTCGCAGAACAGTACTCTGGCCTCAGTGAGATGAGCAGACAGGATCTGAGCATCACTGAGCTTCTCTGTTGGAGCAAGGGAATCTCGACGCCATCTGGTGTTGGTACTAGTGAACTAGACCAAGTTGTCTGGCTGGAACGTTACGTCCTGGAGCATATCAGGACGCGGCAGAAGAAGGACACCTGGGTCCTATTGGCTTTCGAACTTCTTCTCCAGATGGTAAAATCAGGCGACTGGCTTGCGCGTTGTGTCGCATGCGTACGTCTCGCGGTGCTAAGTAATCAGTACGTCATGTACGATGGAGAGGCTTGGATACAGGTTGTTGAAGCCGTCAGAACCGCTTGGCCGCAACTTGATATTGATCCGCTAGGCCAGGCATGCGTCGCATATCTGGCTCTGACCACCGATGACTCCAAGAGTTTTATGAAACCTAGACTTGCTCAGGCAAGCTTCAGCAAAACGACACCTATTCCAGAAATTTTTGCATTGCTGGAAGACGATCATCGAGTGGGGTTAACAACAGTCGGCGATACCAGAATCGTCGTCGCAAGTCACCTCGATCAGGAAGTTGTGTTTTCAAAAGCTTCGCAGGACGACGGATGGAAATGCTCAGTGGGACCAACTATGAACTTGCGCTCTCTTGGCGATGGCAATTTGCGTCTCATATGGGGTCAGGACTCCGAGGAGACCTTGGAATTTGGTTACAAAGACCCTCTCTACAAGTACCTTCGCAGACGCCACGGCCCCACGGCAAAGGTCACAGTTGGCAAAGACATCCAGCAAAGACTTCAGCATAGTGCAATGAGGGTCACAAATATGACTTTATCAAAGCGACAGCACCACTAAAATCAACACACTGTCTCTATTGAATTGGGACAAGATCAGGCTTGAATGTCGAGAATTGTGGCGTTCTGTCGTCTTTGTCGCCTCTTTGTACTCAATGCAGCCTCGACAAGCAAAAGTTGTCCAGACTATCGGCAGGAAGAGCTGCTCTTACAGCAGCTTTCTTCGTTTTATTCTTATTCTCATGTCGAAATTTGCAGTGGTTGGTTCTGCTTAGGATTTTTCCGCTTGCGTGCCAGGGCGTCCTCGCTCTCTTTCCATCATCCATGAACCCAACTTGGCCCGAATCCCTGCGTGAGTCACCTCTTGGCCTCCACTCATTACAGGAATCGTCTTCCTGGACACCGGATCGGTCTCAGCGACTTCTAATAGCATCGACATCGTCATTTTCCAGTCTTAAGAGTGAACTATTTTCTGTATTCGGAACTCGAAGCGACCAGGTGTGGTTGTGTCCCATTGGATACCAAAAAGCAGAGTATCAAAATTGTCTCGACATAATGAACGATGCTTTTGATCTTTGAAATTGCTTAACGAGAGGTGCCTAACTAGCACTGCTGACTTCTTGGGTAAGAGAACATGGCATTCTGGTGATTTGACAGTTTCATCCTCGGTCTCACTTGAACACGTCCGTCATTACAAGTCTTGTTCTTTACGTAGCCCCTATCGACGACCATCCTGTTCGATCCAAATATGCATTAGAGAGCTTAATAAGAATATGGTATTTTGCGGTGCTCAGGCACTTTGGATTACTCTTGAGTGGAACTTGATCTATGATGAAAGGATAAAGACGGATTCTTAGAATTGTTAAGAGAACAGTGAGAAACTTATAGGGATAGTCCTTGAAGAGGTGATCTAAGATGTAACAAAGACACATCGCCCGTAGTTGCTCAATTGCCTATTAGGAGATAGAAACATAATTATAGGCTTCTGTTATGACTCTAACTCCAACTTAGGGGAGGAGGAGAAAAGCATGTAAAGATGTCTAGTTGCCTAACTTTTCGTCACGGGCTAACTAGCATAGGCTAGATACGATAACACAGCAGAGTCCTAAGCTAGAAAGGATTATTGCCTCTCGAATGAGGTAACAGGTGAGGTACCATAAGCTTTATGGTCGTCGTCATTATCATCCGGCACATCGACGACGAGCGTTTATTCGAGCACTGTGGCGCTCAGTAACCAAGGCATCACGGTCAGCCTGCAAACGATCAACCTCAGTGTGGGCATCTCCAGCATCCTCCCGAGCAGTATCACGCTCAGCCTTCGAGCTTTGGATGTGAGCTCCAATAGTAGCCTGATCATTGTTGGCTTCGCGGGCCTCATCCCGAGCAGGTTCGCGGTTAGCAACTAAGGCATTACCATCACGCTTCGATCGACTAGCTTCGGTCGTGGCCACATGAAACTTTTCGAGGGCATCATCGCATTCTGATTACAAGGCATCAAGACATGATATATGCACAGCACGAGTCTGACTTGGTACAAAAGTGTGACAAAGCAATCTTGATTCAACGAGAAGAGGAAATGTTTGTGCCTAGCTACATACGGTGAAGGGCAGAGAGCGCATCTCTCGCTGCGCGAGCATCGCCTTGAGCATGTCGAAGTTGTTCTCTCAAAATTGTGAGCTCAGCTGATGCCGTTATGCGAGCCTCACGCTCGGTCTCGAGGGCGGACTGGGCTTTCTCAAGCTGGGTCTGCAAGCCCTGACGACGTTCCTCGACCTTGACAAGCTCTTCATAGGCTGATCGAGCTTCGGATTGAGCAGTTCGGAGTTGCTGCTGGGAGATTTTCAGCTCAGTTGATGCTGTGATGCGAGCCTCAGACTCGGTGTTGATGTTTTCACGAGCAGTAGCAAATTCTTGCTTCACCTGGGTGAGCTGCTCGCTGAGGAAGTCCTTGGCCTCTTCCAGATCTTTGACTTGTTGTTCCAAGCGACTGACGTCCTGGGCGGCCTTTGCAGCCTTGTCATTGGCGGCATCGGCTTTGCCGCGAGCGTTTTGAGCGTCTGTAGCCTGGGTGACGAGTTCTTGCTCAACTTTGTCGAGTTTGCCTTTGGTGACACCATGAGCATGCGAATCGGTCTTTGCTTGGTTGGACGCGGCGGTCAGGCTATTTGTGATGGTTTGAAGCTGGGCCTTGGTGCCGTTGTGGATCATTGTCTTCTCACGTAACTTCGCCTCGGCAGCTTTCTTCTCGTCCTGAGCAGTCTTTTCAGCAGCCCGGGCGGTTTCAAGATTTTCCTTGGTGATTTTGAGCTCGGCCTTGGTCTTGTCCAGCTCCTCAGTTTTGCGTTCGAGAGTCCTTGAGGTGTCATTGCGTTGCGCTTCGATGGACTTGACATCGTCCTGGGTGGGCAACTGTTGGACGAAGGTCTTGATTTTCTCGAGCTTGTCGTGAATGACCTTGGAGGTGGCATCGGATCCTTGCGCAAGCTCATTCTTGACGGTCTGTATCTGGTCAGTCAAATGTACAAGGTCATGGCCAACGACAAGATGGCCGGCCTCGGAGGTTGGGATGGTAAGAAGTAAATGAGATGGGTACATACCGTCAATTGCTTGATCAGGGTCGCAAGTTCATCGCGTTTATTCTCCAAGACTTTGTTCGAGTTGGAGAAGCTCGTGGCGCAAGCTAAGAACGCTTCAGCGAGCTCGCGAACCAAAGAAACATTGTCGTTGACATCAGTTGAGCCTGCGTGTTCCTGTAGATGTGCGTGGATGGTATTGACAAGCTCATCGACCTTTCTCTGTATCAGGGCCTGCGTGTCGAGCATCTCAGGTTCGGCCATGGCGAAGAGCTGCAGAGCGGTGGGACGGGATGTTTGTATGGAGTGGAAAAGCAACGAGTATGGGGTGCAAGAAGAGGCGCTTGGAACGTTGGTGCGTAAGGGCTGGCGATCGACGTTATGAGAGGCAAGAAGGTGAGGGTGATGAGTGAATACGCTGACTTGGTTCGGTGGCTACGGGAGAAGTGACTGATCGAGAATACTGCGCGTAATGACGGCAAAGTGAGGACTCAAAGAGTTGTTCACTGAAAGTACTTTTCGTGAGCGAGACGGAACGTCGTTCTAAGACAGTCTTCGGGGTCGACAGGCAGTGACGGGTTACAGAAACGAGAGCTCGAGGGACCACGACGACGTGGAGTGCAAGTGAAGCTGGCGAGACTGCAGCCAGAGTCATGACGAGAAAGAGATAACGACAAGGTCCAGGATAAATCCGCAAGTCGCGAATTTCCTCCCCGTGTACGAAAGTATGTAACGGGTATGCTATAGAAATGCACAATAGAAATAGGGAACAGGATAGTGTCCACTGAGGGGCGGCAAGTCATTGACTCTCTGTGGACACGTTTCTACCTCCTAAAGTAATCGTGCCTTTTATAGCCTACATCTTACTCTTAGCTGTAGTCGGGATATGGTATCGGTGGAAATCACAGATTCTAGTACATGGGGAATTTAGATTGCCAACTTCTTGGTCTTCAGTTGACCAGCAACTTGCCACTTGCTCAATGCCGCAGAGTCCATACAGACTTCCTTTGGTGAAGACGAAGAAGCGATCGATAATCTTCTTACTTTTCAATCCTTGCGGGGTGACAAATGTTTTGATAGGAACATACATTTGATCTGAAGGAATTGTGCATCCCGACAGTTGTATAATGACAGCCGCATGCATGGAAACGCTCTGCATGCGGGACAGACGTCAAAAGCCGATAGCATATTCAAGCCACTCTCTGAAAGGAGTTGCAACTTACCGAGCACCAGCAAACAAGCTCGGACAGATTCAAGAAGTGCTGAACAACTATTCACGCTGTTTAGTTTTGACCGCGACCTTGCGACTTGTCGCCTGTTCTTGTCGCCTGTTCTCCATCCTTACTTTCACAACGTCGCGTGCATCTTCTTGTCCAGGTGTTGTACAACTCTCGGTCCAGTCGTTTCCGCCTCTGTGTCAAGTCGCACTCTCCTAGAAGCCCACACCTTTGCTGGCTGCATCTCTTGGTCCGCTGTCTTCGTCCTCAGAGCGCCGCACTTTTGCGATAGCAGAGTCACTACCGCAAGGTTGGCGTCAGGAAGCACTGCTGCTCCAGGAGGCACTGCTGCTCCAGGAGGTGCCACTGCAATGCAGGCCCAATAGTTGCCATCAACCAATGGGAACATTGCATGAACATCAGTAAACAGCGGAGGTGAGTGTCGAGCTCATAGATCTGGTCAGACATTAGCTGACCCCGACTCAAAACAGCGAAGTCAAGCAGCAGTTTAGCAGACTCTCTGCTGATGAGCAGCTTGCGTTCCTTGCAGTGAGCGGACATGTCAAACCTGTCATGGATACTCTCGAGAAAGAACGAAAGAACAAGATGAGAGAGGTCCAGAGGATGACCACTCAAATCGACGAGTACCTTGATGCTGCAAAGAAGGCAGAAGAACGTGAGAAAACACACCAGACTGTTAGTCAGGAGGCCGATGATCGCGTGGAGGTGGAGAAAGCCAAGCAGATGTAAGTATCGCCTGGCAAATGAGAGTGGTGTGCTTGATGTCTCCTCGCTCCCCATTGTCCATTGCGAAAGCCAATGTGCTGATGAACGAACTTCCAGGGCCGACGCCGTTACAGTCAGGGTCAGAGAGAAGTATTTCGGAGACAAGGGCCTTGCTGCTCGACTTGATCCCAAACCTTTGAAGCACCGTCCAACTCAGCATACGCCGGTCCCTAAGTATTCTCACCGGTATATCACCCGCTCAACAACCAACAACGACGGCTACGACACCAAGGAGATTGAAACAGTCATCGTGAAGCTCATCGACCAGCTTGAAGGATTCCGAGGCACCAAATTCAGGAACGAGGACGAGATCACGCAGCTCAAGAACAAGGTCAGCGACACCGAAGCCAAGGTCGACCAACAAGCCCAGGAAATTCAGGTTGTTACAAAAGCCCGCGATGAGTTCGAGCGCAAGGCGTCAAAGGGTGCGAAAGAGCTGCATGGTGTCCGTCAACAACTCGATGACCTCCTAGAGAGCCACAAGGAAGAATCCGCGAATTCGGAGACCAGATACACGACTCTGGAGAAAGACAAGAACGACCTGGAATCAAGGCTCAGGCTCGATCTGGATAACACCAAAGCCGAGCTGGAAGCCGCCAAACAGCAAGCAACAACAGCCAAGGAGGCCGAGGAGGCAGCCGAACGCAAGTTCGAGGAATTGCAACAAATCTCGAGCACAGCCGCCTTGAATTATCAGAACTATCATGCAGCCGCAGAGAAAGAATCGAAACGGGCTGAAGACCTGGAGAAAGAGCTTGAAAAGTTGCGACAGTCGAATAAGGAGCTGGTGCATCCAAGTCAAAATAGTCGAACGAGGCATGGTCCAGAGCCCTGACTCGTGAGGAGGCTGTAGTGAAACTTGCGTGTGAGATAGGCACTTTCACGGGTATCTCTCATTCTTTTGAACCTTTGCCCAGTATCTGATGTATTGCTTTGTCCTACGTCAACAATACACGTCTCAGGATTTTTAATTCCTGCAGGCCTACCCNCAATTGGCTCTCGAGGAACAACGGAAAGGATCCATACTGAGCATCTATAGACGCGAACATACGTCTGAGCAGATCTGCCCTTAGTTTAACTGCGTTCCTGATGCTTTCTGGTGGTGCTCCAAGTTCTTTTCCGACCCGTCGATAGTATTCGTTCGCTGGCGGCTGCAGGAACACATTGGCGGAATGGAACCGAAGGAAAGTTGTTGAACCCGGGTCCTCACGGTCGGGCTGCAGAGCATGGTTTGAAGCCACAAAGTCGTCCTCGATGTCTTGCTGGGACACCCCTAGGGCTTTGAGCAACAATGCTATACCGACACCAGTGCGGTCGCGTCCCCCGGTACAATGAACCAAGATATTCTCACCTGGAGTCAGGTCGAGGAGCGCGCGAAAGAAAGGGCGGTACTTTGTCAGGCGGGACGTATGGCTTTCCGTGCCATAACTGTTCACGAGGAAAAGCATGCGATAATAAGGTCCATATTGGCTGACTTTGGCGATATTGAGCATTGTTTCTGGGAGACCCGCGCCGAGTACCAATGTTCGTATAGTCGAGTCGTCGATTGCATCACCAGTATCGCTTCCAATGATTGGACTTGGGACAATTGCTGTTCCTGCAGGTACCTGGTCGGGATGGTCGAGAGCTTCCTTTGGACCGCGCAAGTCTACGACTGTCTTTATGCCAAGTTTTGTCAGGGTCTGTAAATCTTCGTTGGTGATCTGAGCGAGGTTTGCACTTCGAAAGAGGCGATTCTTGATGATGTGTCGCCCATCACTTGTGGAAAGGCCTCCGAGGTTGCGCATATTCAGTGTACCTTCCATAACTATGGATCGATCTTGCCATGTCGTATTTGATTCTACCTCTCGGCTTTGTCAGTCTCCGAAGATATCAAGTGTCACAAAGTTCCATATGCTCACCTTGTTNNTAGCGAGCATGGTTGAAGAAGAAATCGCTGAAGTTCTTAAAGGGCGAATGAGCCTAACACTTTTCTGAGGCAACAAATTCCTTAGCATGCTCTCGTAGTCGCTTCAGATTGCGTTTGCGTAGTAGTTAACTCAGCAATACAGAGGAAGATATAGTCTTTTAGGTTGCAATGACTCATCTCGGGATGAACAACAGTAAGCCGTTTAGCACCTTCGGCTAGATAGCGGATTTCCCGGTAATCCTCCGGACTTCTCAACAAAATAACCGAAACGTTGTCGTAGGGAGCCTAGCCTGTCCTATGAACTCGGATCTGTGGCCATTACGCTTACCCAGTCCCTAGCTGTCGCGATCGTATCTCGGGGCCGCTTAGATTCACTTTTCCCCGCCGACATGAGTCTTAACAAGAGCCAGCTATTAATGGAATTGTACTGAGTACTTCTCCGCCACGACTTGGCACAAACGTTCGCCCAAGCCCCGCCATTTCCAGCCATCACGGACCGCATTCATAGATTCGAACGACTCCCCGACAAACTCAGAGTTCGATGAACGACTCATCACAGTTCCATAAGGACTCGTCGTTCTTGAAAACCTACCCCACGGATGGGATCCTCACTAAACAACTGGTCCGCCAAACACAATATGGATTCTCGGATGCCAAGGCAGGTACTCTAGTTCCCGCCAAGCAATGTGTTCAGCTCTGCCCAAATTCGGATACTGCACCTATTGAAGTTTGTTAGTAACAGTGGCATGAGGTTTCAATTCTGACCATGCATAGAGTTCGCTGCATCAGCTCAGGTTGACTTTCTGCACGATGAATGTCACTGCGATGTTCTCATAGCATCGAGCATATGTGGCATGATTACGACGACGTGACGGCCTGTGGTATCGAACCTGCGAGAAGCAACGCAAGAAAACAAGAAACTTGAGATATCATACGACATGGGCATGAAGACTGCCTGTCCAAGAGACATAAATATCAGGTGGGCACTTTGTATTTCAGATTCTCAATCTTAGCAACTCATTACTCATCTGCCATCCCACCAACATATATCTTCTTCCCAGTCACCATGTTCACCCTGAAAAACTCTTCCTGCTCCATATGCCCGCGTTCGCAGCTCTTCGGCTAGCCTTTACAGCTGATGCTTCTCCCCATGGCCACCCTCAGGCTCTGACTGTTCGTGACTTGTCTAGCGCTGAGTTCTGCCAGCCGATTGGGTATGGATCGAACAGCGTCCCCTCTGGAACTACCTGTGCCAGCTTCGAGGGAGACAACATGAAAGTCGTTTTCAATGCCGAGACTGGATGGAAAATCACTGACGTCCACGTATGGGTCAGTGAACAGCCCCCAGGAAGCTCTGTGCCCACAGCTCCAGGCCAGCTGCCATACACACTCGCCAAAGGTTCCTGCACCATCAATAGCGATACCAAAGCGACTTGCACTTTCCCGATCCAGAGCACCTGGCGTGCTTGCGGTGTCCCTCTCTACGTGATCTCTCACGTATCTGCTACCACGCCCGCTCTTGTGTCAGAGACCGGCTGGGGTACTGGCCCTTGCTACGAGCTTAAAACGAAAGGAAACTGCGCAAAATACTGGAGTCTCACGACGAAGTGCGAGTGTCCTGTTGTGATCGACTACGAGCCAGTCTACGCGACGGTTGGTCTTGAGATTCTGGAGAAAACACGTCCTGAATGTCATGCTAACGATCTCCAGAAAACTTACACAACTACCATTGAGACAACTACAGTTTATACCTACGATCATCCAGACAAGCCTACGGTTACTCCCTGTAACGATGCTTGGCCTGCAAAAGCGACACCTACTGTTAAGGAAACAACAGTGTTCCCGTCGGACTATGTCTTCCCTGCTCCCACTTTTGTGTGCTCCTGAGATCAGGACCGCACATTATGAACAGTCCCTACTGGATGTGATGTCAGCGCAGTTCCACAAGCTTAATATCTCTGCGAGTCCAAGCTGACACTGCCAAAGAAACAGGTTGAAACTGTCGACCGAGCATTCTGTCCTTTCCCTGTAAGTACGAACGTGTATTTGTGGAAACAAGAATTCCGGCACTTTCACTACTCTCTCAAGATACATGATTGTCAAGGAGGCGGCCAATGTTATCTTGAGCAATTCTACCAGTGATCGAAGATGAAGTTGATGATTTTACGCACCTGTCATTACGAACTTTGGTTTTTGTGTTTTGTTTTTCTGATTACTTACGACGATCGAAACTTCAATCATCATTCTTCATTAAGCCTCTTGTCCATCCTCCTAATGCTATGGATGTCTCGTTGTCCATAGTTTTGTAAAGTCTTGAAAGGATGAGCGAACAGGGAATCGCGGTGTCAGGTATCCCCAACAAGATCAGATAAGATGCGGTGATCAAAACACATTTCCGAGTAAGGCAGTAGGAACTTCTGGTCGGCACCGAGCATGCTTACACCTCACCTTTACACCTGCAACAAAGTCACATCGGAGGCATTTGAAGTCTGAATAGCCAAGACCTGTGTGGGTTGTGAAAGGATTGATGTAGGATCAACAAGATATTGTACCAAGAACCCAAGCATTTAACCAACCGAATCAGACTGGATACATCTCGAATGTGTCTTGCACAACAACCTTGGTCATGTCTCCCTTTTCTGTTGGAGCGTACCACATCACTCCAATCTCTTCGTGATCTTTGCTAAGTCGTTGCCCGTTACCCCAGAGCTGGAACTTCAAATCTGCAGATCCCAAGAGAACTTTGAGATTGAATTGAGCACGCTTGTAGCGCGGTTTGAGATTGTNACCTGAATCACATCAGTCATGGCTCGTTGATGTGTGGATGCAGACGAACCAGTGTCTGTTCTTCAACTTCATGTCAAGAGGATCGAGAACAGACTCGATGTGACAGACCGACTTCACGGAATGGTGCTTCATGCTCTTCGGAAGTTGTGCAGCTGGAAGACCACACATCACAACCTGGGTCCTCCAAGGAACCGTCTCTTGCCCGAGATTGATCTTCAACCGATAGGGCTCGGTTATGCCTTTCTCGACCGAGACCTTCTGACNCCTGCAACGCGACATTTAGTAGCATATATCACAGGGAAGAGGACAGCATACCTGGCGAATAAACCAATGAATCTGCTTCTCTGCCCACTTCTTACCATCTCTCGGATCTATGGATACGTCTTCTCCGATGTGCTGAATCGGGTCATATGGTATGCGAACGACCAATCCATAACTGTTCCGACAGCACTTTTCGGGATAAATACCGCTAGATCCTTTGAGCTTCTGCACACGGTCCATGACAAGTCCATGAGTCACAACCAATTGNNTCTAGCTCAAGTCAGCACAGAAGTTTCACTGCCCTTCATGGTCTTACGGTTCAGGTGCAATCAAGATCTTGATATCTCGAGCGTTGTAGAGATTCATGTCTGCATTCTGTTCGTAACGCTTGCGCATACACTGCTTCAAGTAGGGCGAGCTCCCTAGTCCCCCAGAGAGTATCAAATAGTTCTAGAGCAGATTAGAGACAAGGTGAGAAGTATCAAGTGTTGGTCCTTGACTGACGATTGTCTCGCGTGAATGAGTGTTTTGAAGTTGCTTAATTTGCATATCGATGAGTTCGAAGATCTTCCCGATGCACTCCTCGAAGACTTGCTGAAACTCTTCTCTNNGTCCACGAATGAGAAGACGAAGTATTGTCAATTTCAGTGTGGAAAGGTCTTACCTCGTGATCCTCATCCTCGAATCTTGAATGTTGCTATCGGGAAAGTCAAGACCAATCGCAAGAGTGGGTACGGTAAGGAAAAGATCGAGTCCTTGTTGTGCGTCCAGGCCGAAACTACATTTGAATGTTTGGAAGGCGGAAGAATTGACCATTCTCTCAGCTAGAAGCTCAGCAGGAGCATGGAGATGGCTCTGGATGCGTTCAAGTTGGTCTAGAATGAGTTCTTCGATCTTGAAGTCGATAAGTGTCGATCCGACTGCGGCTCCTTCCACCCAGTCAAGAGGTTCGATTTCGTGCTGCCCAGGCTCTGTGTTCTTGATTTTGAGGATGTTGATGTCGGTTGTACCTCCTCCTGCATCACAGACAAGAAACACGTCACCTTTCTCGTATCCTTGCTTAGAGACACAGACTGCCGCAGCTTCTGCTTCGGTTGAGGAGATCCTGACGGTGTGATTCTTGTTGCTGCTGAAACCGGCCTGCTTGATCAACGCTTCTATCTCTGCTACCATAGCAGGATTCTTCCATGTCGTAGGAACACTGAAGAGAAATTCAAGCCTCCTTGTACTCCATCGCGCATAGCTGTCATCGAAGTGCTGGATGATGGCACGGTACAAGCAGTGCATATAGTCAACGAACCACTTACGAGCCTCTCGAACATCAGGTATGTGTCGCGACCGGGCTTGGTGTGCAGGATCCAAGAACAACTTGAAGAGGGACTGGATTTCCAGCTCATCCGAGGCATCTCTGTCGATCAGAAAGCCCCAAGTGACAGCTTGCTCGCGTGCGGGGTGATATGCAATCATGGTATCGACCTTGTTGAGNNGGTTTTGACTTGGCCGTCCTGGCCAATGTTGGATCGTCGTGGGTGCGCCCCAATCTGGTGCCATTGAATAGGCGACCCCGGTACANNCTGCCGCACATTCAGTGATTGCTTCCGAAAGGACAAGAGTTGTCGTATCACTCACGGTCATGCCAAAATCAATGCCTACTACGATTTCAGGGTCCATCGTGAGGTCCAGTGAAGTGCTTCTAGGTCGAACACACGAATGGAAAGACAACCTCAGTTGATTTCGCGACGGTTCCCAAGCTGCATTCATATCTCTGTTTGCGCTCGAAAGCTTGTGCCGGGTTAGACGGACTCACATGAGGACGCAACTAAGAGCCTAGATCAGCCATATGCAAGGCTGGGGGCTGGTCGCGAGTACCACGTTGACTTCTACAGCTCGGCCTCAGCCGCGGGTTACATGTAAAGCCCCAACCAAGAACCCGGTACAGTAAAAGCTATCATATCGCATGCCGTCTCTGATCATGCAAGTCAGGTCTTGGTCCGTGGTCTTGAACCCTAAGCGAGCTGAGGCTCAAGCCACAGAACGCTAGTAAAGCGGCATGCAACATCAGCCTCGAAATCCTACAACGTTGTCACTAAATATACCTGGGCCTGGTCGGCGGTTGTGATCTGTGAGTCTCCTGATCAGCTGAAGCATATATGGAATGCTCAAGCTTCGACCCAAGCTTATCCTGGAACATTTCTTGTCCCAACAATATATTATGTGAACGACACACCTACTCCATCCAAAAAACACGATAGACGGTCAGAATACAAAATGTCAGGTGACTCAGGTCCTGGACCCAATGCAGGCATTGCGTCTCCGGGCAGCTCGAGCTCGACAACCACTTTGACAAGCAAGTCTACCGAGGCAGCATCTGCTGTCACCGCCACTTCGGTGAGCAGCTGGAGCCCGGGCGAGGCAGCATCCGCTGTCACCACCACTTCGGTGAGCAGCTGGAGCTCGGATACCGCTTCGGTGAGCAAATCTAGCGAGGCAGCATCTGCTGTCACCGCATCTCAGACACCCCTGGGCAAGCCTATTCCAACATCTTCACCGCCGGCTTCTAGCACGCTCGCTGGTACATCCAGCAACACGTCTGCAGGGAACGGTACTTCGGGTCTACACGCACCGAACCAACATTCAACTATCAATGCCGGAACGATCGCTGGCGCCGCTGTTGGAGCAGCTGTGGGGGCTGCGATTCTTGCATTCATTGTGACGTATCTACTGATGCGCTCTCGTCTAGCAGTGAAGAAGAAAACGAACGCTACCGACGTTTTCACATCTGATGACTCGACATATGCAATGAAAAGGGCTACTTTTCAGAGTCAGTAGTGGAGTCGAAAGATGGACCTGGAGATTGGATGCGACGTCTTCCGCAGCCTGCTGACGATGTCTCAATCATTACGACCATTGAAACGATCTGCCAGCAGATTGAGCTCCATGTTGACAATTTTTACCGCAATACCGAGCGGCCTCTAGACAGTATTCCGGAACGGGCTCGTGCTTTACTAACTGAGATTGACACTGGCCTAATCCGACCTTCACTGTCAGAAGCAATGGTGAGGTATCGTTACAAGATGACAATTATCAAACAAGCACTTGCCAATATGATCTTCTCGAACATCACCATCGAGGACGAATCTCCAGGCTCTCTTCTGCCTCGAGACGTAGCGGAGCTACAGAAGTCACTGCAAACTGCCACGAGGGATCGAAGCAGGCCGGGTAAGTGGTACCCGCAATTCATAGCACGAATTTTACTGATTTCAGCTGCAGCAACTTCACAAGCTCTCGCCTACACACGCTTCTTGATAAGCTACTTGCGTCCAGCCCCTTATGAGGACCAAGCTCTACTCGCTCAACGCGATCGCACCATCAAGGCCATGGCAACCACATTTTGTGTTGCGCTCGAGCCTTGGTCGTCCCAAGGCACGACTTCTGATGCTCGGTGTTCCAACTTGATTGAGATCCTGCGTGGAGCAGCCGCTGGTGGTATTCTGCTGTTCTCACAGCGCGCCACATTCAAATTTGATTGGGATTTGAAAGATAGGAGGCCCGTGAATAATATAGTGGTTCTGCCTGGACTTCTGAAGATCACCGACGACAAAGCCCGCCCTCTAGACAAGATTCTTGTCTGCAAACCGCAGGTCATTGCAGAATTAAGATAGAGAGGCGAGCTTCGTAGATGTTTGGGTGGATCTTTGTACCTGTTTGGTCGGATGCTGAAGATCTTGAAAGACTGTTGACAGAAAGAGAGGGTCATTGGGGGTTTGAATTTTCGTTGGAGTTTGGAAATTTCGGTTGACTTCACTATGTTCGGGTCAGCTAGCAGTCATGATAGCTCGTAGCTTGGAAAATCGCTAGATCGAATATATAACACATTCTGGAATGATCACGCATATGTCTAGCCAAAAGAAAATCCAGCGCAACATGGTTCATGTCTGGTTGCCATTCCAGGCGCTACGTATACCCATGAGAACATAACTGCAAGGAATTCCAAATATTCATAACCAAGAAGCTACATAGTTGCTAGTACAGAGTAAAGCAAGACCGCCTGAATCGACGTTCGAGGTGTTATACTGCATTGTCAGCATACCACTGTTTCCTTGTTTGGCTCGCAGTCAATCTTCGTTGGAACTCGGGTTCTTCGAAAGACAGGTTGTTGTCGAGTGGTTCTGTTTCCCGCTTCTGACCCAACTGGAGGCAAATCGGTATCTCTGAATGAACACGGTGCAATCTCCTTGCTCCACGCTCCTCGCATGGAAGTCTGGCAAGGCCACTGTGGACCTGCTGATGAGTACGAGGAGCTGATCCAGAGAAGTCAGATGTGAGAACAGGATAGGGTAAGCACAGTGATGTTGTCGGAAACCGTGAGGCTGCGTCTCGCCAACCATATGTCTCAAGATATGATGGGGACACAGTGCGATACCCGTAATGATCTTGATCTGGCATCTCGATGGATGTTGAATTTTGGCTCTCTTGGTAGGGATATGGTAGGTCCCGGCGGGCCAAAGAGAGTTCACTCCCATTCAACGACTCTGGTTCCTGAACTTGCGTCGCCACAGAAGAGAACGGGATATTGAGTACTTGGCTGTGAGGGCCTTCTCCGTAAGGAATCTCAAGCGGTCGTCTGTACGGTTCATACTTGTAGTCCGATGAATCTCCATGGATTTGGGACTCACTGATCTGGTGAGCAGGCAACTCAGGAAATCCTGGCAACACTGGTCTGAGTGCAGAGGGTTTAGAGTCCAAAGGTATTGGTGGAGGCACCGATGTAATCGTTGGTGAGAGACTCTTGCGCAGACTCATGGAAGATGGATTCGATCTCGACAACCGTTTACGATTCAGATACTCGCTCTCTTGGTACGATGGTGGTGGTTTTGTAGCTTCCTGAATCTGGATGATGGGTTCAGAAGGCGAAGAGTCGCTGTCCTGACAGGCTCGAGTCGCTTTTGGATGAGTACCCTCCCTCGAGCTCAGCATAGTGAGAGCTGTATTGAGGCTCTGACTGGTCAAGGTGAGTCTTGTGAGATTCGTCGCGACCTTGGGTGAGTCACGGAATACAAACAGCGCTCGATTTACAAGCCCAATCTTGCCGAAATTTGTCTGCATATCCACTCGCGCTGGTTCCACAAGTGAGGCAACATTATTCAATGTCTTCTCTGTATCGTCGATCACTCGATCCACCCATCTCTTCTCCTCTGCTTGGAGGAGACCAGATTNTTGACGGCGTAGGGACCGAACTGTTTCTACTGATAATGAAACATGGTTGGCAGAATCAAGGAGATCGTGCGTTTGCTCGGTCACAGCAACCAACTCATAGACAGTTTGACCTATTTTGAACAGGCCATTCAAGCCTGAGCCAGCACCAAAGTCCATTGTTCCGTACTGAATATGATCTTGGGGTCGAAAAGCTGCATCCACAGGCCGGTGAAAACACCGCCGCGTATCGTGTCTGTGATAAAGTACGCTGATGTACGTTGCATGGAGAAAGATAAGTCTCTCAGCTAAGGCTGCACCACGCGCGGGGCTGAGCCGAGCATAGTGTCTGGTGAATCTTCAACGCATTTTGGCCCCAGGCAGTTGCCAAGGTCTTACCTGCATTGCATGATACGCAATGCAACAGTTCGCGCTCAGCCGCTCCAGTTCCTTCGACAGCCGTAGAGTCTCATGAACCCCGGTACATGCTTCTGCCTAGCTGAATGGCTGCACTATGGTCATGCCCGAACATCTCGCCGTGTGGCTTTGTCTCGACTGGCAGACATGGATCAGATCTTTCTGCACAACCATATTCGTACCTCGATGGACACACAGAGAACGGAAGGGTTGGAACCATAAAAGGACTCCATGCTGATTTCTGTAGCCTCTGGTATTCCTGTTTCTTCTCAATTCTGGTTGCGAGCGACCGTATATTCTGCAAACATGACGTTGCACCTTAGTTCTACTTTCGCTGTTGCGTTCCTTTCTGTCTCGGTTCTTTCATTGACATTCAACGGACCCAAGGCGACTTCGGCCATTGATGATGAAGTCTCTGTTGCCCATGGATGGACTTCTCGCCCGACTTCTGGCCCAGTCGGGCGCAACATCAGACGTCAGAATGCTCAAACCGTGCTAACGGAGCTTTGGGCTCCAGACAATGTCTGTGGTTACTATCAGAGTTCCTACAGTAAGCATTGCAAAACATTTTAGATCTGGTTGAGCTGATTGACGATTGAAGCTTCGCCATGGGCATGCCCCACGACAGATACTTGCGTGTTCTTTCCGCAACCAACTAGTATTATTGGTTTCATTGGCTGTGGTAACAGCGGCACGATCTTGAACTGGGTCACCTCCTGCGTAGACTATTCTCAATATATCCTGAGCAGTCCTGTCTATGACAAGGATAAGTACATCATAAAGTGGTATGTAAATTGATGCGGGCACCACATACATGAGACGACTCTTACAGATTCGTAGTACCAACTCTGACACGCCTTACTGCAACACAGTCGAGTTTCCAGACCTCACTGTTGAGGACTACGTATGCGAAAGCACTTCCGGATCTACGACGGGGCTTTACTACACCGACTACACCGGAGACCTGAACAGTCGTCAATTCGCCAAGCTGGAATGGACCACACTCAGCACAACTAGCTCCACGACTTCGGCTATGAGTTTGACTCTGCTTTCGAGTACGACCTTGACTCCGCCTTCGACTACGATTTCGACTCCAAGCTCCTCTCCCTCGACATCTCCTTCATCGAGCTCTCCTGTTCCGGTACCAACGCAGAGTCCTACCGCCAAAAGCCACACGGGTGCTATCGTCGGAAGTGTGGTTGGAGTTTTGGCCGTTGTGGTGGCGGCAGCAGCCGTGGGAACATTTGTCTATCTGAAGAAGCGGAAGCAAAGACGACTCGACAACTCCATACCTGAGGTGGCTCAGATGTAAGATAGTAACTGTAGCTCTCAATTTAGCCTAACAGGACCATCCTAGAAATAGCTATATTCCACATCTGCAATGTGATGACGGTCAGTTGGCTGCAGTTCACTAGCACGGATGGGCTTGATAAATGCATTGCATGTGGTTCAATCTGGCTTTTGAGCCGCTAGACCGTGCATTCACGTCGGAAGCGTGACTCCCGCTAGCCTAGATAAGCTGCATCGGTTTACGCAGCTTGAGCTGAGCTTAGCTAGAGGCAAGTCCACCCCGGAGTCATGCACAGGCATCCATGGATCTATGACTGCTTCTAGGCTCACCGCTGCTACGGAGGCAGACCCTAGAATGATGACCCGATCGGCAGTCTTTCTATTTTGGCAAACAGACCCCAGGAACACGAGCAAACAAGACTTGACTAACCATAGGACCGTTGTCGGGATCGCGGTTAAACCCGCCCACGCCGGGATCTCGGGCCGCTGTCCAGTAGTACGGCTCAAGATTGGCACAAAGGCTATTTTCACGATATGCTCATGCATATCCTGCGTGGCTTGGGCATTGCCTTTAAAAGGCTTAGCGATGAGCGGTCTTCCATGCGCGGCTACGTAAGAGAACTTCTGATATAACGCACGAACTTTTCGATCATGCAGCTACAGAATCAACGACTCCGCAGCCAACACAAACGCACCATGCCCGACCGTTTCTGCCTTAAGCTCTGGTCGTCAGCCTCGCTAATCGTTCGAGCCCTCCACAACTGACGAACCAACACTAAGTGGCCCAGGTCCGGACTGTGCTGCATATCAGCTGCGGCAGCAAGATCAGTGCATCGAGGCAATAAGTCGTGACGGTTTCGGTCTTCGCCGGTGTACCCAGCCTTTCGTTCTTCTAGGTGAGCTTCCTACCGTGTGGCTCTAATAATGGTAGCTCGATAGTTTACGAAGCCGCAGATGTTCCTAGCGAAGTTTCCATAAGGAGGTTAGTTTCCCGGAGGTAGAGCTAACTAAACATATTCCGGCCTAGTCTATATTAATAAGTACACTACTATAATCTTACATAATAGATACTCGATTAGGAACCTAGACCTTACCTCTACGAAGGAGAGGTTTAGGTAGCCCGAGCGTTAGGATAGTGTGCGACTTAGAGATTTTTAGAATTCGGAGTAAATATATAAAACTATAAATATCGTAATAATGTACGAATAAACCCTAGGATATTTTTCGCTAATAATGTAGAGTGCGCTTATACGACAAATATTAACTTACTAAACATATTTATATCTATTATAGTTATTAAGTTATATATAGATAGGTTATTATACTAGGGGAGTAATTACTTTATAGGGTAGCTATTAGGGTCCTTCTCTATTAAACTAATTAGTAAATAAGCTATTAGGATTATAAATTTCCTCGCTATAAGCTATTAGGATTATAAATTTCCTAGCTATATAACTAAGATATAATAACTATACTACTACTAGATTAATTAATTAATTAATTTAATTAATTAGGCTACTTAGTTCTATAGTAAACCTATTAGCCGTCTCCTACTAGTTTTACCTTTTATATCCCTATCTATCCTTATTCTATTCTAGCTTCCTCTTACTTAATAGCTCTTATCTACTATATAAACCTATCGGACTTTTAAAGAAAATAGAGAACCGCCTTTACTACTAGGAGGTTCGCTTTCTATTTTTCCTTTAGCCTATCGACTAGTTACCTAGTTCTTAGGTCTTCCTAGAGATTCTAGCCTCTAAGTATATAAGAAAGGTCCCTCTACCTATACCCTACTACCTTAATAGTAATTTAACGATCTTCGTATAAAAGGGGGTATTCGTATATAATATACTTAACACTTTCTTATATAGCTCCGTATTCGTACCTTACTAAGTCTACTAGTTTTATCTAGTATAGGTTACTCTTTAGTTAGGAGTACCCTATTTAGTATTAAGTAAGTATCGACGCCTCCTTCGTAGATAATACATTATATACTATTACTATATAAAAGCCTAGAAAGGCTCTATCTAGCTCCTATATATATAATCTAGTATATAGCGTATCTTAAGGCCTTATATTCCTAGCCTATTTCTAGGTCTCGTCTAGCTTCTTTTAAAGTGTCTTCTTAGCTACCCTTAAGACTATCTTCTTTATAACTCCTATATAGCGTTATTAGTATATTCTCGACTTTACTATACTATAGTCGTATATATCTAGAGGCGTTAGAGGGTTAGTAGGTATTAGGGAGTCTACTACTAGAAGATAAAGGGTTCGAGTTAAAACCTTTAAAACCCTATATAGAATTAGGGTTTAGGGTTATAACTTTAACCCGAAACCTTTACTTTATAAGACCCGAAACCTTTGCTCTAATAAGCTTAAAACCGGCTAAAATTAATATAGCTAAGTTTTTAAACATAATTCTACTTATTTATAAAAAATAATATACTTATAAGTAAGAATAAGAAAGTTACTTTATAGTAATAATTACGCCTAAGACGTACTTTACGACAGATCTAGAAGCTTCCCTATACTAGACCCTAGTAACCGAGTATATATACATTAATAAAGCCTAATAGTATAGAAGCCTAGCTAATAGGAACCATACCTAGCTGATAGGAACCATACCTAGCTAATAGAATCCATGGGTTGCACTACAGCCCGTCTAAAAAGGGTTTCGCGGGGTTATGCTTTCGGCGCTTGGCGGGGTAGAAGTGAAGTTGAACCCGTAGTAGAACCCCGATCTTGTAAGTTGTATGAACACGACTCAATATTTGTAAAACTATGGTAGAGATGAGTTAATATGATACAAAGGCAATTGCACCATTTAGATTTCTGATTCTGGCTGCGACTTGTTGAGTATCGTTGTCCAAAATATGGCAAGTATGACTTTCGAAGTTTGCCAAGAATTGCGCCCGCAACTCCACCCGACTTCTTGTAGGCATGCAAGGTCACCCCAACAACATTAACACCAAAGATCTGGGAGTAAGATATATGGTCAAATTTGTGATCTATATAGTGAACTCTTCAGTTTCTTCGTCAGAAGAATCTTGAACCACTCGCAGCAAGCGTTTAGATTTTTGCAAGTGAGGAGTAGGTTCTTGAGTGGTCCCATTGAGCGTCCGGCCTGGAACCACTTCCCGGTCACCAAATATATGTTTTTGACTTGCTCAATACCAGCCACTGAAGGTATAAGATCTGCTTTCAGACATGCTAGGGCACGAAGCGTATAGTCGCGACAGGAGTCACAACAGTTACGGACAAGTTTCGATGATGAGGTGCCATGCTTCTCGAAATATGCGTGGATCTCAGCAAATTTAGCAAACATGCGAGCGAATTCAGGGCCATCACAGGTTGTCGCATTATCAGAACCATCAGCCGATGTCACCGCTTCGTTATCAAAACTGCTTAAGGGAATTTCATCTAACAGTTGCGACAGGCCAGCAGCAGGAGACTCGCAAGGTGGAGTGACTGGTTCAATGATCCGATGGCCACGGATTCTCTTGATTCGAGACTCGCCGTCTCGGCGTACTGTATTCGTAGCTTCCGCTACGTCTTGAGGACCATTATCCAGACAATCTGTACCATCACTTGGCTCCAAATCAGGATTGGCGATAGTAAGATCATCGTTTTCTATGCGCTTTCTCTTCCGGGAACTGTCTTTTGTTCGGATAGCAGAAGTCGGCTGCTGTTGCGGTGTTGTCGGGACCACAGGCATCAGCTCTAGCACATCTTCCCGAACGCTCGAGGCGGATGCATTCATGGTACTGTTGAAGAACTTGACATCTTCTGGAATAAGCTTACGAGTCTTCAAGATTCGCGTTCGAGGAGGACGGTTTGCAGGATCAAGACGTCTCTCAATAGCACAACGCCAACCGATCACAGCTTGTTGCTGATCTGGCACGTTTGCACTAGTGATGGCCACTTCACTCAGCATTCTCTTAGATAGGTCTTTGACAGACTCGGCAGGTCTCATTGAAGCAGGAATAGTATCAAGCCAGTTGTCGCCCCATATCTCAGCAATGGATTGCTGGTGGTTCTCTTTAGACCATTGAGCAGAGGTGCCAACGACGACCATGACTTTGACCACTTTGTGATTAGCAACACTGTTAATGAAAGCTTGTTCACTACGAAGGTTTGGGTCTGGGTGAGTGTCCCACAGGTTGTTGATCTTCACCCATCGCCAGATGTAAGCAGCTTGGACACTAGCGCTCTCCGCTCGGTCGGCTGCAGCAGCAAGCAGGTCGCTCGCGGCTTGTATAGGTGAGACATCGGGACCGGGGTTGTTCAGATAGTCCCAGATCGAGACGTCAGGCTTGTCTGGGAGTCTCTGGTTGCGCAGTTCCGATTCGACATCGGCCGGCGACATCATCTGGAGCCGAGCTTCGGTCTCTCCAGCATCGGCTCTAGCTCGAAGGGATTGGTGTTGACGTTGCACTTGAGACGCCGTAGGGGCGCTCGGTCCGGCGACCGCTTGCGTGCTAGGAAGTGCAGAGGGCCGAGGTGCAAGAGGCACCGCTGACGGCACTTGCGAAGCGTCGCGGACAAGGCGCTGTGGAGAAGCGACATCGTTCTGGAGATCCGCGGTCGCTACAGCACCGACAGAATTTGGTTCAAGTCGATAGAGAACACGTGTGCGGACATTTTCACACCCGCCATCGTTACAGTTGCAGTGACAACTACTATTCGATTCTTTGCCAAACTTATGTAGATCCACCCTGCCCGAGCAAGACAGGAAAATCGCGCAAGAGAGAAAAGCAAGGTGTAAGATAACAAAAAGAGGGGGGAAAAGAGAAAGTGGAAGAGAAAGATAGTACGCTAAGCTGAATTCTGAAGAAACGCAAGAGCGTGGCGGGGAAACGCGAAGCATATATATTAGATTTGACAAGGGTGGAGGCGTCCCAGGCTTAGCCCCCCGCACCCCATTGGACAGACATGTGTCCCGCTAGACCATTCTCATGAGATATCGCAAACCATCAGCAAGTAAGATGCATAGTTATCGCATGATCAGCCCACAGGTCGCACAATGCTACAAGCAAGGTTCTGCGTGTGTATTCCGCGACAGCTCTCTGATAAGAGACACTACGAGAAGGGTAAGACGCGTCGGCGAATCTCTCGCTCCGTTCTGTTTCTCTGCTCTATCTTTTCTTGCCACTATTCATCGTTCCATACGTACACTAAGCTTCTCTTATGAACGATCCAGCAAGAGAGAAAGTATACAATTATCCATCTCGACTTGCATTTAGCCAGAAGACATGGAGCTAGCATATCGGTTGACCGAATACGCTCTAGAGCCAGCCGGCGAGGACGACACAGCTAGAGTCATGACGCGTCAAGAAGGCAGTATTGAGGAGACAGAGCAGCAAGAAATCGCAGCAGCCATGTCGAACTACGTCTATCTAGCAGAGCACGAAGTTCTCATCTGCAAGGAACACGGCTACGCAGTGCGAGGCTTAGACAGCCATCTGCGCTTGGTCCATACTTCTTACACTTCTACGTCGAAGAAGGCAAGGGCTGCACTAAGACAGCATCACAGCGGACGCAACATGCCAGACCCATCCACAGTCCGTCTACCCGAGCCAGGACAGCCGGCAATTGAGTATCTGTGTAAGCCAATCCCAGGCTACTACTGCATCCACAACCAGGACAACACCGCCGGCGAACAAGACGTACGAGGGGATGCATCGACAACAACAGACTCCCCCAGTCACTGCGGCTTCACCACCAGCGACCGTACCAACATCGGCAAACACTGTCGTAATGCACACGGCTGGAAATCTACTGACGAAGACCGTCAGTGCTGGAAAGATGTCTACATCCAGACGTTTTGCAAGAGTTCAGGCAAACAAAAGTGGTTTGTCGTCAAGACACCCGATCAGATCGATAGGGAAAGAGCAAGTGTCGGAGAATCACTCCCCGAGCCAAGCAGATCCAGTTCGACGGCATCAAAGATGACTTCCAGAAGTTAAAAGAGCAATGGCAGAAAGAGCAGGAGATACTAGCAGACAGGGTTGAGAAATGCGAGAACACCGGATGGTGGAACAAGACAAGATGGAGAGAGCATCTCAAGAACTGCATCTCACCCATCTCTCGTACACCAGCCGGCTGCCCGAGAAGGATGAAGAAGCGTTACTCAAGGTAGCAGCGGTGATCGAGAAGATGGTCGAGAGGGGTGTCTCAGGACTGAGCTCGATGCCGGAAGGCTTGCGTCGTTGGCTTCGAAGTGCAGAGATGCACAAGCCAGACGTGAGACCGCTATCCCGGTTGCAGAATCCAGAGAGTCAAGAACGGTACACCGGGTACTGGAAGCGAATGGTTTGTTACTGTCTACGAGTATGGTGCACTCGTCACGAAGCCACGGACAGCGAGTCAAGTGGCGATGGCAGCAACAATGACGATACCGAAAGCGACAGCGATGAGGTAAACAGTGTGTACAATGCTAACGCCAACACTGATGAGGTAAACAGTGTGTACAATGCTAACACCAACACTGATACCGACGACGACGACGACGACGACGACGACGACGACGACGACGACGACGACAATTCCGACACAGATCCACAACACGATCAAGGCAGACGGCAAGCACAAGATCACATGCACGATGCTCGGAGGCTCTTCCCATGGAACGACCAACTCGAAAGAGCATTAGAGGAGGTGTGGAGATTGATCGTTCTCGAGGGAGACACATCATCCGTAGAAGACGATCAAATCCCAGCGATGGTAGAGCTCAGTCGGGTGTTGTTGTTCAANAAGGTGTGGAACGACCGCTTCGACAGCGCTCTAATCCATTTCATGGCCGTGATGGGCATCGACGAGACCAACGCTCGGCTACGCGATGGCAACGACTACTCTTACATGATCGCCGGACTGGTGTACGTGTCCAGGATCGTGACCGCCGAAGCTCTGCTCCCATCACTCGACCGCGAAAACCAAGGGGAGGCCGACTTCGAGGCATTTCTCGAGCAGAGAAAAGAGTTTCTAGCCGACGGATCGATGAGCGTGATGGGAGAGATGTTGAGCTTGCTAGCGTACGGAAAGAAGATCGCAAAGAACTTCCACGCCCAGGGGGAAGCTGCACTGGACTCACGACGGAGCCGGCGTCGCTCTCGGCAGCATCGAGTTCACGGTGTACAACTTCAAGTCCATGGCACGCTCCGCTCTAGACGATTGCGAAGACTACATGTGGAGGGGATCTCATGTGGGCAGGCCGCAAGGCAGATCGCTTCGTGTTAGATCTCGATAGCATCACCGACGACATGACGGTGAAGAAGAGAGGCTGGTACTTCGGTGCCGACCCGAACCAGGATCTCGAAGCACAAGGTCTCGACTGGATGTTGAAGAGGATGCTAGGCTCGAACCAGGGGAAGAAGATGCGCAGAGGTGACCAGTGGCAGTCGAGACTGGTGGCCAACTATCTCCGGAGGGTGGACAAGTTCAGGGAGCTGTTCATATTCTGCGTGCACGTCTTGAGCGGCCAGCCCGCCAGAGGAACCGAGATCACCAGTCTGCGCTTCCGCAACGGAGTGGCCAACCACCGCAACGTCTTCGTCTTGGACGGCAGAGTGATGACGGTGACGAGCTACCACAAGTCACAAGCAATGCTCGACATGCCCAAGATGGTGCCACGCTTCTTGCCGTGGAAACTGGGTCAGATCGCGGTCATCTATCTCACCCACGTGCGGGCGTTCGCCGAGTTGCTGTCGGTGCAGGTACAGTACGGTCAAGGATGGAGTGACTACATCTGGGCGGACTCGCACGGCCCGTGGGAGACGCAGAAGCTCACCGACACGATGAAACGAGAGACGGCCAAACGACTGAAGGCCAAGCTACACACCCAGAACTACAGACACGCCGCCGTCTTTCTAGGCAGGAGATTCGTCGGACCGAGGTTCGCCAAAGGCTACCGAGAGGAGGCCGAAGATCCGGAAGAAGCCCAGGCGGGTGATATGGATGACGATCTCGAGGAGGGCAACGCGATCGAGCTACAGAAAGCCGGCGGCTTCGGCACCGGAGCCGGCAGATACGCGGTCAGAGCGGACATCTTGAAGTATCTCAACCAAGAGTCGATCGACATCTTCGGCGATCTCAGCGAAAGCTGGCACAGGTTTTTCGAGCTCGACCACAGAGATCCGAAGAGGAAAAGAAAGGCCGAGAGCAGCAGCAACAAAGACGATGGGATGCAAACCGTCGACTTTGAAGGATTGAGGAAAGAGAGATTGATCAAGAGACTGCCCGCGGCAAAAGGGAGGAGCTGTTACTGTTGCCGCCACTCCGACGACAGTAGATCTCTCACCGTTCTTACAACAATCCGAAAGGCAGCAGAAGGAGATCGAAGACTTGCGGATGAAGCTCAAGGCACAAGAATTCGAACTGACAAGACTTCGAGGAGAGGAGCTGCAGCAGGGACGACAGCAACCCATGACCCCCATCGTTGGCTTGGGCATCTACTCGAACAACAACAACAACGGAATGCCGACCCCGGTGACAGAGGGAAACAGGCACGACTCACACAACGATGATGCCAACGACAAGAACGACAGCAACGAAGTCATCTACATCGACGATGACGATAATGATGACAACCACCACGACGAATCCAGGTACTCTCCAAGGTGCAGCGGCAGGAACCACCAACAGCATCTGCAGCAGCACGTAGACGACAGTCCGATCATCGAACGAAGCCGAAGAAGGCGCGAGAGGCTGCAACGCTACAGAAGACCGACGGCACAGGAAAAGGAGAGGGCTATACGCAAAGCACTCAAGAAACCAATGGACGACGACGCGGTGACGATCAGATACAGATCGAAAGCACAAGGAGAAGCGCTCGGGAGAATCATGGACGGTGGGTTCAACGTTCTCACCGTCGTTCTGCCGACAGCCGGAGGCAAGACTCTACTCTTCACCGCACCCGCTTGTCTGGAAGAAGACGTCGGGGTGACCATCGTGGTGGTACCGTTCCGCAAGCTCATCGACGAGACGGTGCGAGAAGCACAAAAGACGGTGGGTGACTGTGAAGAATGGAGTCACAGCACCGTCGATCCAGCAGCTCTCGTGGTCGTCAGCGTGGACAAGATGCACGATCACTTCTGGTCGTACGCACGGCAGATGGCGGAGCAGGGCCGACTGAGACGAGTGGTGGTGGACGAGTGCCACTTGCTGGTGACTTCGCACAGCTGGAGACCGCATCTCGTGGAGCTGGAGAAGCTCAAGTCACTAGGAGTACCGATGGTGATGCTGACGGCCACACTCCCAAGGTACATGGAGGTCGAGCTACGACGAAGTCTAGGTATCGGCATCGGAATGATGTCGCTCATACGAGCATGCACGGTGAGGGAGAACATCACTTACACCGTCAGACAGGACATCGGCAAAGGCAAGCTGGTCGAAGAGACGGCCAGAGTGTGCGAAGAGGTCGCCGACGAGCTACGGAGCACCAGGAAAGAGAAGGCCGTCGTCTACTGCCGAAGCAAGAAAGACTGCGAGGAGATGGCGGAAAAGCTAGGCTGCGGCTTCTTCTACGCCGGACACGTCGACGGCGGGGAAACGCTAGAGCAGTGGAAGGCGAACGGCGGCTTCATCGTGTCGACGACAGCTCTCAGCACCGGACTCAACTACGAGGCCGTCAAGGCGGTCATCCACTCGGGACTGCCATACGGACTGATCGAGTTCGCCCAAGCATCGGGCAGAGCGGGTCGAGATCCCAACGAGAGAGTGGACTCGATCGTACTGCTGGAGCAAGGGTGGGAGGAAGAAGAGCAAGGGACGCGGGAGCGTTACAACGAGGCACTCGGACCGGACGGAGCAGCGATGATGGAGTACATCAAGACGGAGGGTTGTCGAAGGCTGGTGCTAGGCAAGTACTTCGATGCGGCAGAAACGATCCAGGAGTGTCACGACAGCAGCAGCAGCGGCAGCGACAACAACAACAGCGAGACCGAGAGCGAGACGAACTGTAGTAATGGCGGCAGCCGCCAGCATCACGCCCCAAAGCTCCGTGCGACAGGTGTGGTGGTGGAATGGTGGCAGCAGGTACAGAGCTGGTCAGGCAGTCCGAGCTGGAAAAGGAGATGGTCGAAGAGGCTCTAGACGAGATGAAGCTCGGCTGTCCGATGTGTTGGATGAAGTCAGAAGAGAAAGACTCACATCTGGAGCACGGTGGCCGGGAGTGCGAGAGTCGAGAGCTGACGGTGACAGACGAGGCCGACGAAACGACAATTGTCGATGTTGACACATTCCGGAAGCAGATCAAATACGCAAAGGCGAGCAAGGCTTGCAGGAAGTGCGGCATCAACCAGAGGATGTGCAACACCAGGGAAGACGCCAAACGAAAATGCCAGTGGCCCGGCATAGCAGTACCGGTGTTGATGACAGCAGTTCGAGATCCGATCGGGAGGAACATCATCCGAAAAGCCGGCTTCGAACCGAATCGAGTGGTGGAAGAGGAGAAGGAGGGGTGGAAGGCTTACGCAGCGTGGTGCGGCCAGGCCAGAGACAGGCGGATATGGGGAGAGATGATGAGCAATTCTGATGTGGGTGGTGAAGGAATTTTTGGTTTACAAGAGTGGGGAGAGGATGAGGCAATTCTGATGATGGCGGTGGTGATGAGAGTCAGGAGAAGGAGGACAAGGATGATGATGATACTTCATCATTCGAGGATCTGGACATGGATGAAGACGACTTTATCATGATCGATGCCGGGACCATGGAAGCTACAACAACAACAACAACCGCCACCACGGCTAGAGCGACAGCACCAGCAGCAGCAGCAACAGAAACAGAAGTGGGAGAACGACAAGAGACCCCGGAAGCCCGAGCTACAGCCGTGGAAGAACTGGAACACAGCAGACAGATCCCCCGAGTGTCGAAACGTCCGATGTGCTCGGATATCAGCAGCAGAGAAGGGTTCGAAGCAAAGCTATCGATGTACAGAGGTTGTTGCACGGTTTGCACAGCACGATCGGGCAAGACGGAGCGCAGGCACACGTCATGGAGGACTTGTCCACTGGTCAAGACGTTAGGACTGGTAGAGAAAATGGAAGAGATGGATGGGAAACTGGCCAGGACGAAGATGGAAGGGTCGTCGGGTTGCAACAAATGCTGGAGACCATGCATGCTGTGTGAGCAGTACAAAAGAGACGGCAAAGACATGAGTTTGGCAGAGGGGAGGTACATCAAATGGAAGAAGTTGTGGAACGAAGGGTGGTGTGGACAGAAGGGAGAGATCGGGGGCGATCATCGGGTACGAGAGGAACTGAGATCGGTAGCGTTAGGGTTGTTGTTCAGTTCGAGGGACGAGGTATGGGATTGGATGATGGGTGAGGGCGAGCTGGGAGAGGATGAGAATGGTGATACCGGCACGTTGATAGTGGAATGGTTAAGGAGGAAGAGCAAGGTAGGAATGAGGATAGAGGAAGGATGGATCCAGAGCAGCAAACTGTGTGATCTAATCCGGAATTGGGGCTGAGACAGGCCCTGCAGGTATCTTGAGAGAGAGGAATAATTAAAAGAGAAGAAAAGGTCAAATCTACCCAACCCTGCAGGTATCGCAAGAGAAATGATGATGATAGAAGAAAAGATCAAATGCACCCAACCCTGCAGGTATCGTAAGAGAAATGATGGAAGAAAAAGACAAGATGCCCGGCCAACCCGTAGGGTGGTGTCCCAGGGGAGAAAAAAGCAGAAGAAGAAAAGGAAAAGAAAAAACAAAAAGACGAAAAACCCGTGCAACCCGTAAGGTGTCCCAAAGGGAGAGAGAGAGAGAGAGAGAGAGAGAGAGAGGGAGAGAGAGAGAGAGAGAGAGAGAGAGAGAGAGAGAGAGAGAGAGAGAGAGAGAGGGAGAAAAGGAAAAGAAGAAAGATCAAAAACCCGATCAACCCGTAGGGTGGCCCGAAGAAGGAGAGAGAGAGAGGAAAAGTGGAAAGAAAGATGAGAAAAACCCGTATAACCCGTATAACCCGTAGGGTGGCCCAAAGAAGGAGAGAGAGAAAAGAGGAAGGAAAGACAAGAGAAACCCGACCAACCCGTAGGGTGGCCCGAAGAAGGAGAGAGAGAGGAAAAGAGGACAGAAAGATAGATGAGAGAAACCCGACCAACCCGTAGGGTGGCCCAAAGAAGGAGAGAGAGAGAAAAAGTAGGGGTAAGTAGAGGGTGGGCGGTGGGCCCGTGGTATGGAAAAGCCGGCGGAGGCAAGAGTAGAATAGGGTAAGCAGAGATAGAAGACAAGGCAAGATGCGTAGCAGCCGTAGGGTGGCCCGAAGAAGGAGAGAGACGAAAAGGGAAAGAAGAGGTAAAAGATTAAAAGAGAGACCCAACCCAACCCGTAGGGTGTCCCAAAAAGAGAGAACAGTACAAATTAGGACCCCCATTAGGGTAGAGGGTACAAATTAGGACCCCCATTAGGGTAGAGGGTACAAATTAGGACCCCCATTAGGGTAGAGGGTACAAATTAGGACCCCCATTAGGGTAGAGGGTACAAATTAGGACCCCCATTAGGGTAGAGGGTACAAATTAGGACCCCCATTAGGGTAGAGGGTACAAATTAGAAAACCCCAGTCAACCCCAGTCGTTATAGGGTCAACCGCTAGGGGTTAGGGTTAGGGTTAGGGTTAGGGTTAGGGTTAGGGTTAGGGTTAGGGTTAGGGTTAGGGTTAGGGTTAGGTTAGGTTAGGGTTAGGGTTAGGGTTAGG